TTACTAAATGTAGTATTTCATCTCGATGTATTCCGTCTTTGATATGATTTAAATCAAATTCCTCGTCATTATAATTTGCTTCCGATAGTGAAGAAAGTGACACAGAAGTTATTGAAAACGAAAAAATTTCGATTGACAAATTAGTCGGTATTCTTGACACAGCAATTATAGGACTTGAACAGCGGAACTCTGTAACTGAACAAGAAATTATGTCTGTTTATAAAATTAAAGAGAAAGTATTATCACAGAAAACGAAGCAAACAATTTACATTGAAAGAAATGTTTAATAAAGTAAACAAATAAATATTAAGCTTTTTTTTTTTTTTTTTTTGTAAATTTTAATACCCTTTAGATCATAATTGTTCTTTATTTCATAAATTACGGTTTCATATTTTTAATTTTATAATTTCTGCATGCCATCTTACCAGATTTAAACTGATGATCTACAATCCGGAAAAATCGATAATCCGGAGTCACTGAAGTCTCGACGAATCCGGATTAACGACTTTTGACTGTATATTCATTAATATCTATAATTTTATTAAATTTATCTGATTCTTTCTTTTACATTTCAAAATTTAGTTTCATTCCAAATAAAATTTGCCTATTTCTTATGATTTATTTTTTAAATTTGTGTTTTTAAGTAATTTTTATAAATTAAAAAAAATTGTATTATAATGTATAAATTTTTACCATCATCTTTAAGTATATTTCTACGCATACCTGCAAAAAATTACAATTTTTAATTCAAAATTTCTGAAGCTATACGTGAATTTATATATTCATGCATTTTGGAATTTGGCATATTTGTTGAAAGGAGAATTACATCAAATGTAGTTTAGGCACCTTGTTATAATTATTTGAAAGTAGGAATGATGTGACATTTTTTTCTGCTCATACACAATGTAAAAAGGTAGGAAAGAAGTGACTTTTTTTCGTGTTCTGTCCAATAGAAGGGAAAGAAAAATTAGGTTGCCATATATTAAAAAGTTCGCCAAGTCTCACCAAGTCTTGGCACAAACTGAAAAAAATCATTAAGATAAATTTTTGAATTTTTCTGTAAATTTCACACTAAAATTTACAAAATTTAATACTTAGGCATAATTTGAGTTTTAGAATTGAAATATGGAAAAAAATTCTTATGTTATTTCAGAAAAAGTCCGATTTTGTATCAAAATACCTATGTTAGAACAATGCTATATATAAATCTAATATATATCGTAAGTCGCGCTTTCAAGACATGAAAAACACAATTTGAACTTCATCAATCAGCCCAGTAGAACGGGAGATGTAGAACTGCCGCCCCTTTTTTTTGCACAGTGTACATATGTGTCATGATATATCGTCCAGCACTGCTACAATAAAGAGAATTTAATTCTTGGTCTAATGTATGCTTTTATCTTTACTAAGCCATTACTTCATTATCTTTATAGTCATTTCTACTTTTCATAACTCTTACCATGATGCAAATTAGTTAATGTACATAAGAAGTGAATTTCTGAAGTTAACAAAAAGCTTTTGGCAGTCACCGATTTTCTCCAAAACTAGCTTTGCTCTGCTTCTAGCTTTACCTGAATCAGCTTTATCTTTTGTTATTTTACCAGCTGTGTTTTATTTTCATGATAAGATAGCTTAATTACTTAAATTTTACCTTAGCTTTAATGGGTTAGTCTAAATTTTAGGGTTCCCTCGGTTTGTCACCAAATTGTTGTTTCATTTATGGTAACCTGAGTAGTTAAAAACCCTATTATGATGTGATTGGCTGCATGATTGTGATGAATTTGACTGATGTAGAAAATATTTGTAAGGCTTATTTATATGTTGGATTTTGGTTAGGACGTACTTTGCTCATTTTGTGCTTTATACCATAAAATGCCTGCTTGTGGTATGATTAACATGAAGTTTCTGTACAGTTTAGAACAACTGGGAAAGAATATATTGATTAACTGGTGTGTAAATGAAGATTTAAATGGCCTCATTCATCTCTCGGTAAATTACACAGCGAGATTTAAGGATTTCAAAACCAGAGCTTATATGGTTAATCTTTGGATTATGGTAACTTAGTGATTTTTTGGTGAAAATTTGGCAACCAACCCTGCTACAGCAACCTGCTAGTTTTGTTTTCACGAAGTAAAGGCATGTTTTTTTTTTTTTTTTACTCAACATTTTTTTCCAACAATCTGCTAGCCGAATTACGCTTATACTAGAACTTTTATGGAACAAAAATGCTTAATCATGACGAAGATTAGGTCCGAAATCGGGAGAAAGTGCAGAATCGCAAACTGCTTGCCGCGTTTTTAAGAATTGCACATACACGGTATCATCCATGTACACATCGACCGATTTTCACTTAAAAAAACATCCCAGAATTGCACAAAAATGACATTGCGCACACTCTTGACTTTATCCATGTACACTGGCTAAAGTCCTAGCTAGTAACCTTTATCGCCTTACCAAAATGTCGCCAAACTACCTGTTACCATATTCCAAAGATTAGCCGCTTATATCAACACTACAGAAGGTATATGGGGGTGTAATAAAAAGGGATTTTTGAAAGAAATGCTACCGACAGTATGGAGGATATTTTTCATTTTTACTTTTGTGAATTAATGCGGTGATGACAGTATACAGATTCTAGTTTAGATAATTTTAAATAGTTTTTGGATGCAGTTGAGGAATTCTCTGTGTCTCACATACTGAAGAAACAGAAATTTTTAAATATGTCGATATTTCATTTTTATATTGCGTAGATTCCATAACATGTATTTTCACACTTATGCTATTACCTTGTTTGATTTAAAATGCAGTTTATTGAGATTATATATTTTTTTTGTTTTAACTATGTTTTGGATGCCATTTTACTGGGGAGGGCATTGTATGTAAACAGGACTGGCACCAAAAATTGCCAAAAGGCACCATGAAATATATTTTTACCCTTTTATGTTCTGTTATATTGCACTAGAAAACACAACTTATTCTGTTAATTATGCAAGCCATGTAAGTTGAAGTTCTAATAAAAAGGTTTATATTAGACCTTAACTTTGAAATTTATAGTTTCCTACATGTATGGTCATGTTTTAAGACAGCTTTTTCAATTCTTATATTTTATCCTGTCCTTAAAAATGGCAATGTCATTGATAATTAGATTTTAAGACCAGCCCTCCAAATTTTTCAGTATAGGCCAGTGTAGCACCTCTCGTGTTTCAAGCGAGTTTTCCGAGTTACTCTTTCTGGCAACTCAGAGTTCGGGAAGGTCAACTGCATTATATATGTAGGCATGCACCTACAAATAGCTAAATATATGCCAAAACTGCAGCGTGAAATAGAAGAGCACCGTCTCGTAGAGTAAGGCATTTCAAAGTCAACTGAATGTAGAATTTCAGTATGTAAGCTTTATGCTATTTAAACTCCAATTTTATAATGCATTAAAAATAGGAAAGTGTTTCTTCTTTCTTCTGCACATTATGAGACATTACAAAACAAATTATGCCAGTCAGCATAGCTGATGATATATTTGATTTTAAGTCTGACAGATTATGGTTCTTAAAAATATGATTTCAGATAAAACACCATGTCAAAAACGTTCTTATGCTATTTTTCTGCAGTAAGCTGTTGACAGTAGGTATGGCTTTTTCCGTAAGGTAAATCCCAAATTAACAGATACACAAATGCAAATTATAGTCCAGAAATTTAATAATTCACAAAATTTTCACTTCTTGGTTTTTGGACGATTAAATTAGTAAAAAAATAAAATAAAATAAAATAAAATAAAATAAATAAGAGAGTAAATACAGCAATAAACAGTCATTTAATACAGCCTCTATTTCTTTAGAGATGCAATAAAATAAAAAGCAACTATGCCTGAGCTTAAAATGTGATCTACTACATCATTTGAAAAGAGGGTACTTACATATTAGCACAACCACCTTGACACAGGCTGGCGATTTTTTACAGGAAAAAAGGCGATTCGGTGAATTTTTGAATTGCAGTTTACAATGGATATGGTTACCTAAGAACTATTATGTACATGATTGCCAGAATTTGGTGCTTTCTGAAATTTTGGCGCCTTCTACAAAGGTGATTGTGATAACACGTAAGTACCAAAAAGTTATTTTCTTTAATGCAACTTTAAAACTAATTTGCGTACTTTTCTATTACACTCCTGCCACACATCTCGGCAGTACTATTGTAATAATATATGTGTGTGTTTAACTGCTTTTGTTTACATACAAATACACATACATACATACATAATCCCCAGATCTTGCTATCACCGAGTCTTGGCATATGTTTGGCAACTCCTTCATAGGAGCCAAAAAGTATGGCAAGTGCATAAAAGTACACTAATTTGTATCTTTAAAAATTAAACCTATACGAAACATATTTTCATTTAAAGTCCATATGTAATACATGAACATTTTTCACATAAAATCCTTTTCTTTCAATGACATATAAAAGAAAAGCCTTGTACAAGCTGCCTTTCAGAAAATTTCACACTTTTCATAAGCTTACACTGAGTACATAGCCATGTATTTACTTCAAGTTAGTGAACCTGAATAAATCAGAAGCTAGCACAATAATTAACACATAATTTAAAAATGTGCTTTCACAGGTATGACATATCGATTATATAGGGATATCTGCATAACTCCTGTAATTTTCATTTATTTGTATATTTAATACTCATTTCATATGTTTAAGTTCATTCCTGATAAAAATAAATGACAAGTTATCCATATGCTTCAAACCATATAACACTGTATTCATTTTTAACAGAATTTTTGATAAAAATTAATGAAGCCAAAGTCCTACGTAATTTAGCATAAAATATCTATGAACCACCGTACGTTAAATGCCTAATTCTTAGGCTACATAAAAATTGAATAATTTCTCGTAACCACATTAGCGCATATTCTTATAAGGGTCTTTATAAGAATCACAATCAGATTAAGAGATAAAAATTTGGGAAGATCGATTCAGATATCTTTACAAATACTTACCAATTTAGAACAGGGAAATATCCATTGCATTTATCTAATCTTTGAGAATTCATGATGGAAAAATCGTAAGTATTCATGACGGAAGTATCGGAATGTAAACACCAACAGCAAAGTTTTCTAAATTGTATTATACACAAGTGTAAACAGAACTGGAAACGCCTCCCGTCTATGATTGTTATCTACGCCTCACCGAATAGAAAAATATTTAAATATGACGATGGCATAGATGATTAATTAATTTAACTTTAATAACTTCATTGTACATGAGAGCTACTGAAAGATAATTAATTACGAGAATTCAAATTGGTCTCATTTGTTATTAATATTGAAATGCCTGATTAATAAAATGTTTATTCTGCTACACATGTTAACGAACGCCTGCGCCATCTCGCGCAAAGAATTTGTATTACAATCAGCTGTCAAGAATTACGCAGAACGATGGGGTTAATTTATTGCTACGACGGAAGTAGAAAACGTTAAACTGAATTGTTTATACAATGTATTCAATGGTTTAATAAACAAATTACGGATGAGAACAAAATTTTATAATATTTTTTCTTTGAGTAATAAACTATGTTCATAAAGAAAACAATAATAGGTAACGAATATGTATTTAAACTTAAATATCAGGATGCCTAATTTAAAATCATAATAATGTTATCGGTTTTTAATTTTTTAATAACTTTTAAAGTGCGAAGACGAAAAAGTAAATCGAAATATAATATCTGTACTAACTCTGTAGAGCAACTCAACTTAACTGACACTTTTTTACTGAGTTTGTCGTCTGGTCCGAAAGCAAGGGAACGGAAAGGTCAGAGGTGGTGCGAGAAATGGAACGGGATATTAACGACGTTTTTGATGATATAGCTTTAGCAGAAAATAGGTGAGATATTCATTAAGCAGTACCATTTTTTCATCTTTTCGATGGATTTAATTTTTGCCATACTACCAGATTACACATTTGCTTTCGTTTGTTTTGGAAGTGTTTTGTACCTTATACTGATCATTTGTAACTTACTACTGTAATAACTATCGACTGAATTTTTATAATAAGGTCTGGATTATTGAAAATTAATATGAAGAGTTTTATTTTATTCTGAAGGACTTTTTCCCGTTATCTTGAGATACAGTATTATTTCTCGTAGTCGTTATTTCTTTCATATGTTTTTCGCATGTATAATGTAAATGGGAAAACGTTTCCTCAAGAAAAATCCTCCAGGAACGCTACCTTTTTAAGCAAGTAGCTCTCGAGCTTTTTCCCTTCATAAATAACCTCAGCTAACATAGTAAGAATTACTACCATTCTCACTAAGAATTATGCTAATATTACCTATAGTTTTATCAAAAAAACACAACAAAAGTATATTTCATAGAATTCTATGCCTTTGTTTATAAAATAGGCTATATTCTTTCATTTATCATTAAAATTTCGAGAATTTTAATATATATATTTTTAAATCACAGTTCAAGATGTTTAACTATTGCAGTTATTCTATCAGATTGCAAACACTGTTCTTAAAGTCTGCTGAAAGATTTAAAACTTTAAGTTTGTTTTTTGTCCTTGTTGAGACATCAATTTCTGCTGTATCTGCAATAGATCTACTGAAAGTGTGCCACCAAGAAAAATAAATTTCAAAATAAAAACTTACATTTTGTTAGATGTTATCAATTAACATGATTTTAAAAATATTTTTGTTGTTGAAAAACATTTAAGAGCTAAATATGTAACAAAATACTTTTGTTAAAAAGTATTTAGAATATGAATGATAATAATCTAATAAATATATATATATGAATAATAAATATATCTATGAATAAAATATATAATCTAATATATTATATATATATATGAATAATAATAATCTAATTTTATTTCAAAAGTTTTTACAAGACCTGTATATCAGAAACTTATCTTTTATTCTGAATTGTAACTCATCATTATGTTTTAAGTGGAAACTATCACTGAAAATATTGTTATTTCAATCACAAAAAGTACATTAACTTTTAACATTATATTTGGATTTGTCTTCATTCTTACCTTTTAAAGCAATTGAATAATACTTACAAACTTGCTTAGCTCCAATATATCTATGATGTTTATCACTTTATTTGTTTCTAACATGTTCTGAAGGCAGTTCATTTTCCAGGTTACTGTCAATAGCAGTTATTAACATACTATAAAAATTTTGCAAAGAACGCAGTAAAATTGCTGTCAAATTACTTCCCTTAATTTCATCACCTATGTTCTGCAGGTTTATTGTATTTTATCTTAATGTGTTCTTGCATTTCTAAATTTTTTTTTATATCTGATAGAATATAGATTTCTAAGAAGAAAGAATATATTTGTTAAATTTATGCAATCATAAACTGATCTTAATTTTTGCCCTATATCTTTGGCAGATTTACTATGTAAAATATGTATGATTTGTGAATTTGAAGTGTTTAAGTAAATTAGAGCTTTTGCATTGTTCCTTAACAAAGTATCACTAATTTGAAAATATAACGCTGATTTTTGTTGTTTGACTTCCGAATTAGTATCACTAACTGATCCAACATTTTCTTCAAACACCACAGTATCTAATCCTTCTTTTATTAAAAGTGTTTGGTTTTAAACTTTCATAAGAATAGTTTTCATCAATTAATTTTTCGATACATATTGATTCTTTTAAAACAGATATCTTCACTAATTATCATTACTTTTAAACTATATAGATAGTAATTTTGGCAATAAAAAATAAATTAATACATGATGCTTTTAGAATTCTACTAAATTTTAGAATTTCAAATTTTATAGGATTATTTTCATGAGCAGATTTCTGAAATTTTAGTCTTGTAATCATTGTACACTACTAAGGCAAACATGCTACTAAGGCTCTAAGGATCATAAACTTTAGTGGGTGTAAAAAAGAATAGCACAGATTGTAAAAAATGTCAGCTATTTATTTAACATTAAGAAAACTGAGCTTGAGTATAAAAAACAAAGTTGATAATTTCAGAAGGAATAAAAGTAGTTACATTAAAATAAAACATTTTTATTTTTCACTGTCATATTATAAAGTTTCATTTTGGCAACTTATTATACACTATTTAAAATATGAAAAATAAACAAGGTATAATGCTGTAAAGCACAATTTATGAAAGAGTTCTTAGCAAAAGCAAAATTAGCTAAATAATTAATTAAAATGTCTTCTTTTTAATTTTTTCATAATTATTCATTTCATTGCCCATGTAATTGTCTGAGGATATTCAAAATTCTCAGAATATGCATCAATTTTCTCTATAAAATCAATTTTACACTTTTTTCCTCCTTTTTTTTTTTTTTTTTTTTTTTTTTTCTTTTTTTTTCCAAAATATTTCTGGCTTTTTGCTGTTACAGAATTGGTAGGGATAATTTTTCTTTAGTATTTTAGACACTGCAGCTTGGAAAGTTTAGAAGGATTTTAAGGCAAGATTTATAGACAAACAATTCTAGAAAATTCGAGAAATATGTGACAAAATAAAAAATGTCTCCATGGTATCAACACATAATGGATGTATTTTACAGAAAGTTTGCGATGAATTTCTTACTTTTTGGAGAATGCCTGGAAGAAAAATGAAAATATATTTGAAAGTTTTACTCCTGATACTAGAGTTATTTTCTTAACATGCTTACCTTCCCTTTATTTTCTCTACTTTTCAAAGACTTAAGTATGGAAAAATATCAAAAATGCTTCTAATCTTATCACTTGGGGAGGCATTATAGAAAGTAATTTTTTTATTAATAAGGAAATTGAAAACTTACAATTTAAAATATTCATCTAATATGTCTTAATGCATCATACACAGAACTTGCACTAATCATTTTCCCACTTGATGCAGTCTCTATGGATTCTAAATTCTGCTGCCTAGTGCCTTTCTAAATTCTGCTTCCAATGCCTGCTCTAAATTCTAAAAGTTTTTCCATTTCTATATTTTTTGTTCAGTATGTCACTAAATTCTAAATATTCTGCCACACTAGCTCTGTAACCGGCCTTTACCATATATATTCATATTTCTCCTGAATATTCATATTACTAAAGAAATAAGATTAGCTGCTTTTTTTAATACATTCTAAATGCATTTAGTGTTTTTTTAGAATAACAGAAATCCTTAATTGAGTCTAAAAATTCTAAAATGAAAAGGAAACATGTTGAAGAAAGAATAAAGAAAATTATTCTTCAAAGATATGTGCAGTTATTATTATGTAAATTGCCCAATGGTTTATGGTTTCAGCCTTTACTATAATTTTTCATTTTTATTTCCTCATATGATAGAGTTACTGAGCCAGATTAAATTAAAATTAAATTTTATTATCTCTTACCAGTAGTCTACATTTTTAGGAATTTGACTGTTCTTGTTTAATTACATCACTTTAAGCTGTAATCGATTTTGTTAGTATCAGAACATGCCTTTATGTTCTAAGTTCTTTTTAAATAAGAGGCTTATTTAAACCTTTGTCTGATATTGTAGTTAATTTCAGACATAGTGATAATTTGCTCCATGTCCGTCAGAGAGTTTGGGACTATTTAACTTTTGCCAGATCAAATAAATCCTCTTAGGTGCATTGTGGAAAGGTTGACAAGTTCGGAGATAAAGCACGCAGGTACTAGCAAAAAAGCATTGGTTTGCATATTGAAACAAATCTTTAATTGTTAGCAAAGATGCTTAAAGAGGAGAATATCGATATAAACTAGCCAAAATGTTTGGGAAGGCTTCAAATTGAAATCACAGATAAATATTTTGTTGAGTGTTCTTGTTACAAAACATTAATGTTTTGTAGCTTTTAATGTGTAATTGGCCTAATATTGTTTCAGAATCAATGTCATAAATTATTATGTATTTTAAACTGTTAAATTTTATTAGATTTTGATTTTAATAGGGCTTTTTTAACAAATATTGTTAAAAAATAAAATTTAATAGTGGCCACATAAATCCATAATGACTAAGGTTACCTAATTTAATTATTTATAGCTAACTGCTTACCCTTAAAAATTATCTCTACATATTAAAGTGAGTTATTACCTTTCATTTATAGTCACTGTGGTCACATGATAAAACACAAAAATGTAAAAATTCAAGTAAAACTTGTTCTTTCCATCTAGTGAGACTTAAAATGATACAAAACAACGTATGACCTCTGTTGCTTTAATTTCTTATTGGAATCTCAAAGTATATTAACTGGGTTACAACCCCTGGAACTCTGCACAAAGGTGCACTAACTGCATTAAACTGCAGTAGTGCTCTAACTGCATTAAACAAATCCTGAGTAACTTTCAACACTTGCCCAACTGTGCCTACATCAGGCCTTTCAGGTTTGTTCTAATCAGCAGGTCTCTCTCTCTACACAAGCAGCAACGGTGATAACATTCAATCTTTTGTTATGAATCATGCTGATTATGATCATACTTCTTATTTTAACCTATGCCGTTTGACATAAAATCTGCCGGCTATTTACTAAACCTTTAGACTGACCAAGTATGTGACAAAATGAGACATAAAAAAATAAATATAAAGCTAACTATTAGTAAAACGTAAATGTCATTTATCTTATTAGTAAAACGTAAATGTCACTTATCTTCTTTCAAATATGTCCAACTATTATAAGTTAAAATATTTAATGCTATTTGATAAATTGCATAAAGTTTATTTTATTCTCAAGCTTACTAATAATTATGTTAATTAATTCATGTTGAGTAATAATGCATATTACTTAGGGATCTATTTTATTTTTAAGATGGTATTACAAAAGTGAAATTCAGGCATAGAAGAGTATTTTTAATTGAATATATTCAGTTCTCCTTTGCTCAAAGGTCCTTAATTTTTTTCATTAATGGTCCTTAAAAGTACTTAATTTTCATGTGCAGA